TCCTCCTGGGATGGGCCCAGCCCCTGGCACTTCCTCCTCCTGTCCCATGGGTTCCCCGGAGCACAGGAATCACTGCACCCGCCCTGCCGCGCCCCCAGCAGGGATGGCGTCACAGATGCGCGGGGCAGTGAGGCCCCCTCCCCACCTACAGGGAGCAGTGGGCCCCAGGGCAGCTCTGCCCTCTGTTTTCGCCCTTGCATACCTACTGTGGCGGGGAGCTCACTGTCCATTCTGGTTCCCAGGACTGTTCTAACAGTGCCACAAGCTGTGTGGCTTTAAACAAGTGACTTTGTCTGCATGTGGTCTGGAGGCCAGAATCCTGAAGTCCAGGTGGACAGCGCTGAGCTACTCTGGGTTCTCTGAGGGATCTGCCGGCCTCCCATAGCTTCTGGTGCCTCTGACAACCCTCAAGCCCCCTGGCCTTTGGCTGCAAGGTCCCCATCTGGCTCAGAAGTCACATGCTGCTCATGGGCCCCTCTCTGTGGCTCTCTTTGGTCTTATAAGGACACGGATCATTGAATTTGAGCCCATTCTAGTCCCATCTTTCTTTATTTCTTTTTTTTCTTTAATATCTATTCTTAAGTTCTAGGTGGACACAGTGTCTTTACATTGATGTGGTGCTGAGGACCGAGCCCGGGGCCTCGGGCATGCTCACTGAGCGCTCTGCCACTGCGCCCCAGCCCCAGCCCTGGAAACCCCTTTCTGATCACATCAAAGCCAAGACCTTCCCACAGGATGGGGGCAGGTTCCCGATGGTGGGTTAAGAGAGGACGGAACTCTTTGGCGGACACAGTAGAGCCGCTCTAGTTCCCTGCTGTGGTCAGCCCAGGTCAGGGGGGATCCCCGGGCTGACACCTGCTTCCTGCAGGGTTGACTCCAGCCCCCAGCCCCCCTGGGGGCAGCACTAGCTCCTCAGGGCAGGGACTGTGCCTCCCACTGTGCCTGGCACAAGAGCCATGCCCACGTCCCAGGTGCTCCAGCAGTGACCCACAAAGGGACGCAGGGAAGAGCCCTGACCCCAGCCCCAGGGCCCCTGAGGTCACTGCCTGCCGCCTGTACTAGGAGCACCCGAGGGACCCCAGGCCCCCAGCTGCTCCTGGGCAGAAACTCCAGGCTCCTTGGCCACCTCTCTGCAGGTGGAGCCCGGCCAAGGGCGGGCAGCACTTCCCTGCTGGGATCTCTGGTACTGGGACCTCTGGGGGGGCCCAGGGTCAAGACCTGCCAGGTGCCCCCGGGAAGCCCCTTCCCAAATGCCCGTAGGGGCCTGCAGCTGGGCGCCTGAGATGTTCTGTGCCTCTCCCCAGCTGGCAGGGCCTGACCTCCGGATCCACACGTCCAGCCCCTGGGGACCCCAGTGGACATGGTGCTGGGGGCTCAGGAGGCTTCTGGGTGCTCTGGTTCAAGTCTCGGGCCTTCCTGCTTCAACACTTGTCTTTGGGTCACAGTGTCTGTGTCAGGGTGGCGAACCCCACAGGAGGAAGACGTGTGTGAGAGAGACAGACTTAAGGAGAGTGAAGGCTGGGGCCGCCATGTTCACAGGTGCCTTTGCGGTAGAGCAGGTCTCTCCTGGGAGCGCGGGCAGGGAAGGGAGCAGCAGGTCCCAGCCCCTTCAAGGACCGGAGCCTCCTGCAGTAGGCAGTCAGCTCAACCTTACCTTGAAGGCAAGGAGAAGCTGGAGGGGAGATGGTCCCTCCTCAGAAGGTCCACGTGGAGCCAGGGACCCCTCCCGTGCCACCTCTCCCAGAGCTCTGGGTCTGTCCACGGGCTCAGGCCCAGGTCAGGGTGATGTCAAGACAGCCCACCTGTGCCCCAGACCAGGGAGGACTGAGACACCTATGGCAACTGCCGGGTGCCAGCTCCTGCCATGGTCCTGGCCTTCACAGCAGGGAGACGGGCTCCGGGGGCAGTGGCTGGCTCCGGGCTGCACTGCGGGCGGGCAGAGCTGGGTCCCGGCCTCTGCAGGATGGTTGCTGGCCCCAGCCAGGCCCACCTTTCCCGGTCCTCTTCCTTTCCCAGGAGCACACAGGGCCTGGATTCTCAGGACAGAGGGCGACACTGAGGGGTTGGTGTGGGGCCCTGGGTCCCCCAGTACTGAGAGGCGGAGAATGCCTGATCCCAAGCTGTCCACTTCATGGTGGCCAACCCAGAGCCAACCAGAATGAGGCCGCTGGGCCACTCAGGCCAAGCGGGCGGGGAGGGACCTGCCTATTCCCAGCCAGTCTCCAGTCTAGAGCTGAGTCCCACGCAGCAGGGGCGCCCCTGCCTGGCCAGGCACCTCCGGGGAAGAGGGGCTGCGCGGACGGGGTCAAGTTTGCCCCTGCCTGTGTCGCTACCTTATGACCTCGAGTCCACCTGCTCCGCCCTGGAGGGGGTGTTTCCGCGTTTTCCGATTTTTGCGGGGGGCACTGGGATTGAACTGGGGGTGCCCTACCACTGAGCCACACCCAGCCCTTTGAATTTTCTTTACTTTGAGACAGGGTCTCGCTAAGCTGCCCTTGCTGGGCTCCAGCGGAATCCTCCTGCTTCAGCCGCGGGAGCTGCTGGGATTACAGGCGGGCGCCGCCTGCCCGGCTGCATTTTCCGTGTCAATGGCCGAGTGGGAGCCCTCTCCGCGCAGGTGACTTGGGGGACACCACCCGAGGGCAAGGCTCTGCGGACACCGCCCGAAGGCAAGGGCGCGGGCGGCCTGGCTTCCTTGGCGGAGACTCGCGCACAAGTCCAGGGTTGGGCAAGACTGGACAGCCAGACAGAGGGCGGCAGAGGGGCGGTGGCCGGCCGGGCCCCACCCACCCAATCAGGCCCCGCCCCAGAGGCTGCCCCGGACTGGCAGGGCAGCGAGAGCTGCTCGCCCGCGGAGGAGAGCAGCGGCCCCCACCAGGGCAGGGGTCCCGTCGGCCTGTCCCTCGGCCTAGGATGAGGCTGCACCTCCCGCTGGGCTGGGTTCCAGCCAGTAGCTCAGCTGGCTGCTGCCCAGTGGCGGCCTGTTGTGGCGACCCCTGCAGGTGGGGTGTGCAGGCCACGCAAAGGGTGCAGGAAACCGGCACAGCTGGCCTTTCGCTGCCATGCCCCTTCCACAAAGAGGCCCCTGTCCCAGTGCCCGCCTGGAAGGTGCTCACCACTTAGACCGGAGAGGGGGGCAGTGAGGTCGGGGTGAGGCCTTCAACCTTCCTGAGCCCCTGAAGGGCACCCCATCCTGGCCTGAGGAGGTTGGACACCCAGAGCATGGACAGCTGCCCTCAGCGAGAAGCTCAAACCCAGTTTTGGTCTGAGGGGACCTGGCAGGGCTCCCAGGAAGGCCAGGGTGGGGGCCAGAGCAGAGGGGGTCTCTCCTGGTCTGCTGCAGACCCTTGGGCTGTGTCCCTGGCTGTGGCTCCGGCCTCTGAAAGCCATCCCTCAGAGAACAGGAGTTCCCCTGCACCTGGCTTTGACCTGATGGCATCTCAGATAGACCTTGGGAAAGTCCTTGGGCAGCCAGGCATCTTGGCACACACCTACCATCCCTGGGAAGCAGCACTGCGGGTTGAAAGCCAGCCTCAGCAATTCAGCGAGGTCCTAAAGCAACTCAGGAAGACTCTGTCTCTAAACAAAAAAAATATAAAAAAGGGCTGGGGATGTGTCTCAGTGGTTAAGCACCACTGGGTTCAATTCCTGGTAACCTCCCCTCCCAAAAAAAAGTCCTTGGGCACACATTCGAGGTCACTGACACAAGAACAATCTCAGGGCCTTTAAATGGATGTTACATGGAACCCAGCTGGGCAGGTTAGTCACCAGCAGGGTCCCTGTTTCCAGCGCCACTCCACACCGCAGTGCCCTCAGCCTGTTACCCAGGGCCAGGACCTCAGGCCACTGCCTGCACAGGGCCCTGCAGGTGAGAACAGAGGAGGTCTGGCGCTGCCCTGGAGGCCACAAGTGGGGCACCTAGCACCACGGGCAGGAGCACCAGGCACCACAAGCCTGTCTGGGCCCCAAACCTGCACACACACACACACACCTGGTAGGGGTCTAGTGACATGTTCAAAGTAGGTGACAACTAGCTTTGTGGCTCAAGGGCAGCCCAACCTGGTCTGCTTGCCTAGTCCAGGGCCTGCTGCTGTGAAAGGGGCCACCAGCTCAGACCGGGCCAGAAGTGAAGGCAGAGCCCTGGCTACAGGCTCGAGGCTGAGGGCAGATGGAGCAGCCCACCTCTCCAGGGTGGGCCACCCCAGCAGGAAGAGGCTGACTCAGCCCCCACTGTGTCTTGTTCTCCTGCTTCTGCGGGACAGAACATAGGATACCGGGCAGGGTGCGGGGTGCATGCAGGGCAGGTGCCGGTGCAGGGTGAATGCAGGGAGGGCATGGATGCAGGGAAGAATCAGGTGCATGCAGGGCAGGGTGTGGGTGTAGGGCAGGGCACGGGTGTAAGGCAGGGTGTGGGATGCATGCAGGGCAGGGTGCCAGGTGCATAAAGGGCAGGGCGCAGATGCAGGACAGAGTCAGGTGCGTGCAGGGCAGGGCACGGGGTGCAGGGCAGGGTGCAGATGCAGGACAGAGTCAGGTGCATGCAGGGCAGAGTACATGACACAAGGCAGAGTTCAGGGTGCATGACACAAGGCATGGCACAGGCAGAGCATGGGCACTGGGCAGGGCACAGGGCAGACTAGAGTGCACAGGGAAGAGTGTAGGGTGCAGGATGCAGGGTGCAGGGTGCAGGATGCAGGGCAGGGTGCAGGATGCAGGGCAGGATGCAGGGCAGTGTGCAGGATGCAGGATGCAGGGCAGGGTGCAGGATGCAGGGCAGGGTGCAGGATGCAGGATGCAGGATGCAGGGTGCAGGGTGCAGGATGCAGGGTGCAGGGTGCAGGGTGCAGGATGCAGGGCAGGGTGCAGGATGCAGGATGCAGGGCAGGGTGCAGGATGCAGGGCAGGGTGCAGGATGCAGGGCAGGGTGCACCAGGCCTGGTGCCTGGCTGGAGGGACGGAGACAGGTAACGTACACACACAAAACACCACGAAGGCCAGGAAACTGCTTATCAAAATATTTTATTTTAGGAGATCCCTCAAAAAAAGACCCTCCACATTAGACAGACACCCCAATACCCTTGGCCTTTTTTTTTTTTTTTCCTTTTTAAATCAACTAAAACAAATTGATGCTTCAAATAAGACAGGAAATATTCCCAATCAGACTTCAGTCAAGAATATATATATACTTCTGATCCGGGTGGTGAGGGAGAGGAAGATGTGCCGGGGTTCACCAAGTGCTCAGGTCTTGTCCCCATGGAGGCTTGCTGGAGAGGCGCCCAGCGAGGAGGCTGCCTCGGCAGGTGGAGACAGGAGGCAGGAGGGCATCGCAGGCTGGGCCACGTCTGGGACTTATAATTTACATAAGACCACGCCTCGTCCAGGCAGGCCTGTCTGTCTGCTGGTGGGACTTCTGCTCGGGAGGGACTGATCCTTCTGGAGGGGGAGGCCGGGACTCAGCATCATCTTCATTTTGTGTGTGGCTTCTTTTCCAGCTGAGAAACTTTTTTTATTCTTTTTTTAATTTTTAAAAAGAATCACAGCCAAAATAAGACATTAACTGCAAAATCCGAAATGGCTGCGCTTACCCTATTATATAAAAACACGAGTCACTCCAGGCGCCAGCCGGGCCTACACCTTCCCGGGGATCTTGGCCCGCTTGCGAGCAATGGCGTCCTCCACCGCCTTGAGCTGCTTCAGGAGCTCCTCCCGCCGCGACAGCGTGCTAGCCTTCCCGGACTTGGCACTGGCTGCAGCTGTGTCTGTGGCCTTGCCGGGCACGCTGGTCACCTTGCTGGAGCTCTTGGACTGGGGTGACAGCTGGCGCTTCCTGCAGGGATGGGAAGGCGGAGATGTGAGGTGCTTCCTGGCAGGTGGAAGGCTGGAGCACACCCAGGGCTCCCTCCTAGGGGGAAAGGACTGGGAGAGTCCTGGGCTGGCCTGGTGCACCTGGTCATTCTGGTCATCTACCCTCTCTGAGGTCCACCTCAAGAACTCTCTGTGCCCAGCGCCCTGGGCTTCTTAAGGAACAAGATCGAGTACTCAGGCTCTGGCTGGGCTGCGTTGGCTGCCCTACGCCCTCTCCTGGTGGCCTCGGCAGTTGCTGGCAGGGTGGGGGCCAAGGGGTAGGGGTGGGGGGAGATGCAGCAGGCCCAGGAGGACGCACCTGTCTGTGGGGACCAGGGGGGCTTTGGAGTTCTGGCCGCGTTGCCGCTCCGGCTTCGGGGAGCTCAGCCTCCCTCCTGACTTCCGGTCCCGAGAACCTGGCAAGAGGGAAGAGAGTGTGACCATCGCCTGCTTACGCAGAGGTGGCGCACAGGAGGGCCTTGCCACAGGCCTGGGGCCCAGCTCCAGAGCCCAGGGCAGTTCAGCACACTTCCGCTTTTACCAGGAACAAAGCAGGAAGGGAGCCAGGGACAGAGAGGAGCAAGCTGAGTGCTGGGTGCTGCAGCCTGGCCTGGAGCTGCGCCCAACCCTGGCATCCTGGCATCTGGCAACACGGGACGGCAGGAGAGCACGCCCCTTTAAACACCAGAAGCAGAACCAAGAGACTATGAGTGTTCTATGCCACTGCCACGGGAGGAAGCCCTGGACTTGGAGGAGTGGAGTGAGAGCACTGGAGGTCAGTGCCTGGCTCAGGTCCACAGGCTCCTGGACAAACCCAGGGTCATGCAACCTTAGGCAAGGACAGTAAAGGCTGCTCCTAGGCCGGCCCTCCAGGGTGCAAGTCCACCTTGGGTGCTTGGGCAGAAGTGGCAGTTTCCTTCTCCTGGGGCCTTCCTGTGAGGGGCCCAGGCCCCCTACCTGTAGGTGGACACCACCTTAGGGGAGGATGCCTGGGTTTTGGCTCTACCCCTCAAAGCCAGCCAGCAAGACTGTCTCTGCCTGGGTCTGGGCCTCTCCAAGCAGGGTCTGGGGATGGCTGGGCCCCTGAGACCCTTTAGGTTTCTGTGGTTAAACAGTGACATGGAAACACTGTTCTTTTCTCACGTGTCGCACAGGACTGGAGGTCTGCAGAGGCTACAGGACAGGCCAGCCAGGGGACAAGAGCCCCTTGTCTTTTGCCAGACAGATGGTAAAGACACTTGCAGAAAAGATGAACACACTCTTCATTTTGTTTTGGAAGATGGTTGCTTTTCATAAAAAACGGTATTTATGTTGAAAGACGGTGGTTTATGATTGGTAATTTTTGGGCAGTGCCAATGGTGGGAACCCAGGGCCTCCTACATACTAGACAAAACCTACGCCTGGAGCTACACCCCGGCCTTAAAACACAAACAAATGTGGGGAGCCCCTCTGGATGACCCACGCCTTCCATGCTGAAGCAAGAGGCTCTGAGCCATCACTACATTTCGTGGTGACTTGGGCGTTGTCCTGGTTCAGGAAGTTGAGGGCGTGTCTTCAGGTGTCACCCCTGGGGTTGAGCTCCGTTCACCTGCTCCTTTGTAACACTGCCCCTTTGCCCTATTTGGGATAGAATGTTCCATGGAAGCTCCCTTTGTGTGTCCCCTTCTCTTGCTCTGCCCTTGGGTGTGGCCTTCCTAGATGTCAGTCAACCTGCTGACAGCAGACATCAAGAAGCTAGACTCAGCCCCTGAAACCTGACCCCTGGCCTCATTTGAATGGCTTCTCCTCAATAAAAGGGGTCAGCAGTGCTCTCCCCGACCCCTAAGGTCAGAGGAGCCCTCATAGGACCCCAAAGAAAAAGGTATCCCTGTCTCTTGTGTGGTTATTTTGTGCAGCCCAGTTCCCCAAGAGTGACCCTGAGTGTTTTAGTCGCGTGGAACGTGACAAAAAAATGTTATTTATTTTTGGTACTGGAGAGTAAACTCAGGAGCACTTTATCACTGAGCTACACCCTTAGCCCTTTTGACCTCTTTTTTTCCCCCCTTGGGGGTGCCAGGGATTGAACTCAGGGGCCCTCAACCACTGAGCCACATCCCAACCCTATTTTGTATTTTATTTAGACACAAGGTCTCACTGAGTTGCTTAGCACCTCGCTGTTGCTGAGGCTGGCTTGGAACTTGCGATCCTCCTGCCCCAGCCTCCCGAGCCTCTGGGATCATAGGCGTGGGCCATCACGCTCAGCCCTTTTTATTCCGAGTCAGAATTTTGCTCAGATGCCCAGGTTGACCTTCATCTTGTGACTCTCCTGCCTCAGTCTCCCAAGCTGCCGGGGTCAACACCACCTTAGGCCCTGTTATTTTAAAGTAGATAAATATTTATAAACATCTCCACGTTCCAGTTTCCAATGCTATAAATACTGATGGATACATCGCACACAATTCTTCGGGATTCTCCTTGCTGGTTTTCAAGAGAAGACGGGATGCTGAGAACCCCTGGGCTGCGTTGGCCGGGGCCTGAGGCTCACCTCGGTCTGGGGATAAGTTGGCCCTCTTGGCTGGAGGACTTTGCCTGTCTTTCTCTGATGGTTCATACCGCTTCCTGCTTCCTTTGTCAGCCGCCTGAAACAACACAGAACCATGAGGCGGCAGGCCTGGGCTGCCACCCTGTACTCGGCTGCTCCCCGGTCCCTCCTGAGCCTCCCCCACCACATGACTCTGTGGCCCCCGCCACTGCCAGGGGATCCTCGGCCCCACAGGAGGTGGTGCAGAGCCTGGTGGGCCTGATGCTGCTCCGTGGGAACTGGCTGGCCACAGGAGTCCTAAGAGGCCATCTGGGCTGCAGCTCCTGGGGGCTGACTGCCCAGAGGTGCTGCCTGCACATGCCTAGGCTGTCCCGGTGTGAAAGAGGCCACTGGCTAGCCCTCTCTGAGAGCAGGCAGACTCTTGGTCCAGCCCAGCCCCTGGCCTCACCTTATTCAGCAGCGTCAGCTTGATTTCCTTGTGGGCAACGAAGGAGCCCTGCTGTGGCTGCCCGGGGGGTGCCTGCTGGGGCGCTGAGGGCTGCTGGGAGGACTTCCCGCCTGCCGGGAGCTTCGAGGACTTGGGCGGCTGTGTGGACCCATCTCTCTTCCGCTTTTCTTCCTTAACACCATCTTCCTTCTTTGATTTTCCTGCCAATCAATGATACCTCTCAGCCACAGGAGCGTCCCCACAGGTTCCTGTGTGCACCTCGACCATCAGGCACCATGGACACCCAAAGAGCTTCTCCCAGGCCTGCCCCGAAGGCACCCCCAGAACACCAGGGCCCAGCCTACCTCTCTCCTTCTTGGTCTGGGCTGGGGTGGGGGACCGAGAGCTGGCTGAGGACACAGGACTGGCCAGGTCTGCATACATGTCCTCTGAGTCCACACTGTGCACTGAGCTGCTGCTCGAGGTGGCGCTGGACACCGAGGAGACACTGCTCACGCTCAGGGACCTGGACACACAAGCACAGCTGTGCCTCAGTCTCAACCATGGGTCTGGACTGCAGGCTACAAGGAGGGGTGACAGTGGGTTTCTATGGCCACCCTGACCCAGATTTCCCACTTATGGAGTGTGTACTCATGGAACATGAGGTTTCAGGGGGACTCTGAGGGGCTCAAAGGTGCTCCACAGTGAAGGGGTGGCCACACCACCGAACCAGGGTCTCTGCTTCACTAAGGAAGGGTGGCCCCGTGTGCTGGGGAGGAACACGGGAGACGGCAGGTCTGAGCCTACAGTGAAATCAGAACGGGGGTGGTGGCTTCACCGCCTGGGGCGTGCCCTGTGGTGCTGCCACACGCAGGCTCCACACAGCACAGGCACGCGGCCCCAACCCGCCCCACCCACCAGCTGGCACAGCGCTTCCTGACGGTCAGGCGCTGCAATGGCACACAGGAAAGGAGACAAGAGGCCCAAACGTTTTCCATCTTCTTCGCTACTGAAGACTCAACTCAGGGCCACTGAGCCCCATCCCAGCTGTTTCTATTTTTCATTTTGAAACAGGGTCTCACTAAGTTTCTGAGGCTGACTTTGAACTTGCCACCCTCCTGCCTCAGCCTCCCAAGCCTCTGGGGTCACAAGCATGGCCACTATGCCAGGCTTTTTTTTTTTAATTCCTCAAAACACCTCAGACATGTTCAGAAACAGCTGGACACATGGACAAACCGCCTGCTGCCTGGAAATGGAAGGAGTCCGGGGTAAGGCCAAGGGCTGGCGGGCTTTCACGCTCCTTCCCAGCAGCACAGCCCTTCTCAAGCACCTCCCCTCAGGTTTCCTGGGACGGGACCTGGACCAGCCTTGCTCTGCCCCTCTGGGATGCGCCCTGGCCACCTGGCCTCCTAGCCCACAGCCGGGTGCTCTCATGTGAGGTCAGCGTCCTGAGCCACAGCCCTCCCGAGGGACTCTACTGAGGCCCACCCTTTGCAGCCCTGGAGCCTAGGCCTGTCAGGGTTGGGTAAACCTTGCATGATGGAGCCCCTGTGTGGCCAGCCTGCCTGGGGAGGGACAGAGGCCAAGGTGGACGGGGAGTGGGGCTGAGTGAGTGACCTGGATCGGGAACTGGAGCCACTGTAGCTGCTGCCACTGCCGCTGCCACTGCCACTGAGCGTCCGCCTGCAACACAACAGCAGAGCCACTGCTTGGAGGCAGAGCCCTGGGCACGCAGGCCCGCCGCTGCCAGACACCTGCGCGCTGCTGGGTCTGCTGCTATCTTTCTGGGTGCAGCTTCCTCTCCAAGTAAGAAACCAAGTACCCACAGACAGCACCTGCAGCAGCACCGAGACAGCCCTCTCCCAGAAGCCTGGGGACCGTGGGCAGTGGTCACTCCACCCACTGTGCTCCGGGGAACCAAGGCTCGGTTGGGGCACACGACCAGCCAAAGCTGCAGAGGTCAAGGACAGGCTTTCTGGGTCTGGGCTCAGCTGATGGCCTCAGCTACTTGGCCCAAATGCCCTCCCCCACTCTGGAGTTCTGCCTCAGCATCTGCTCTGTGGCGGCACAGGACACAGCACCCCCAGGGAGACCAGAGCCTGAGCGCTCACCTCCGGGGGGGCGACCGGGCTTGTCGCTCCTTCCTCCTGGCTTCCCGGGGGTCTCCTGGCTTGGTGGGCTCAGGGGCAGGAGCAGTGGTTTTGGTAGCTTGTGGTGGGACGGGGAGTGGGACTGGCTTCTTCACCGACTTCTCTCTGTGATACAGAGAAGGCTCAGGACAGGGCTGGGGACGTGGCTGATGTCCCTGTGAAAGGCACCCACACCTCGGGGCTCTGGTAGATAGTGGAAGGACCTGAGTCCAGGATCTGAGCTTCTTGCCTCCACCCATCTTCCAGGGGCCATGCTTGCAGCCCAGTCACAAGCACAGAGCAGAAGACTGGGGAGGAGGTGGGGTCCCCAGACCTGAGCAGTGTGGACGGAGAACGGGGAGCTGGGGCGGCTCAGAACTCACCCTGTCTTCCCTGGGGGCGGTGCCGGTTCCCCCTTGGTTCTGGTGGGAGGTCTGTGTGGAGAAGGCGTGGGAGACGGGGATGGCGATGAGGAGAAGGACCGGGACCTGGGGAGCAAAGAGGACAATGAGGAGGGCCCCAGTGCTCAGCGCATTCCTTCACTGGCCAAGCCCAGAACACAGCCCCAGCCCATGGAGAATGTCTCAGACTTAAGTTTGGTTTCAGGTCACTCCACCATTTGTTAAAGAGACACCCTCAGAGTAGAAAGAAGAGTGCCGGGGCAGCTGTGCCCAGGAAGGCCCACGAGCCTGCATGCAGGATGCAAGGCTCGGGCTGGTTCCACAGCCCACAGAACGGCCAGCGAGCCGGCTACCTGGCCATGCGTTGCCGAGTGGACAGGGCTCTGGATCTGTCGGGGGACCAGAGAGGCCAGGGGCTGAAGGGGGCCCAAGGCACCAGGAGACAGGTATGGGTGACAAAGATCCACAAGCAGAGCAGGTCAAGGTGACAGGCACAGGCAGGGCTGGCAGCCATCTGACACAGTCTTAGTGTCAGCAGGGTAGACAAAGCACCAAGGACAAGATCCAGGATGCTGCTGTTTGTGAGGGGCGAGGAAGGCTCAGGCTTTCCCTGCTCAGCTGTTCCGTGCAGCCCCCACTGCAGCAGCACCAGCCCTGCAGTGCGGCCTCACGGGGCTCCCGCAGTCCCACCGCTGCTGCCTTCAGAGAACGGCATGGGGGAGGCTGGCCACAGAGGACCAGGAGGCACAGGGAGGGACTTTCAGGAGCTCCTACAGAGCCAGTGGCAGCCCTGTCAGCCACCTCCCAGACTGAGCTCCCCTCTCCAGTGCGCACCCTGCACCTGCCTCGGGGGACGTATAGCTGGTCCCAGCTCAGCAGCAGCAGGGCTCCAAGCACCCCTGAGGGCGGGCCAGTGCCCCACAGTGTCTGAGACGTTCTTCTCTTCAGGGGTGAGGAGACCACACACGAGGTGGTGTCATGCCTCCACATGGCCGTGACACACCCCTGCCCCCGTGGCACTCAGCAGAACAGGACAGGGAACCACTGCTCTGCCCTGACCACTCATCACAGCCCCCCTCTTGGCCTGGGAGCCCTGACCTTGGTGTTCGATGTCACTGCAGGGCTTTCTTCCTGGTACCTTGTTATCATCGTCAGCTGCACGCCCAGAGCAAAAATCACCTAACTCTTCGCCCACGGGACTTCCTAAGTCCGAAATTTCCAAACGGCCCAGCTTGGCCTCATGGTGTGAATATTTCTCCTCTACAACTCATCAGCCTCTTAAATGAAGCCCCACAGTATTTCCAGGGTGATGCTCTGACTGTCCTTTCCTGTCCTAACCACTCACACGAGGGCCCGTGTCAACCTGTCTCAGGTTCTATTGACTCTGTTGCAGGAACCAGCCAGGCCTGTGTCTGGGAGCACAGGTGCACCAGGACTGGCCCTGCAGCACCTCAGGTTAAGAACCCCACCTTTCCTGGCCTCACCAAGCGCAGTGTCGCAGGAGACAAGACAGTGTGCCGGTTCCCTCTGTTTCATGAAAACGCAACTGTGGACAACTGTGTGATCATCTTCTATGCAGGAAGGGGCACCACTGGGGGACACCAGATCATCATAGTAGGCACAGCTTATTCCAAGACACCTGGTGACGACGCTTCCCAGAGTGGCAGCTGCACACGTTTAAGTGGGGTCCTTTGTCCAGTGAGTGAGACCAGGATCCCTGTGCACACGCCCTGCTGGATGCCACTCTGCTGCCCCTCCCAGAAGATCCCACAGTGACCACGGTGCAGCAAGGTCCACGCGGAGCTGGAGCCTGGTGCTGGCCCTCTCCACTCCCACTGGCAGAGAGTGCCAGAGAGGGGCCACATCATTGGGTGCCTACAGGCAAGACAAACTGGACACGGAATACTGTGTATGTGCTTGTGGAATTTTCGAATCTTATCTAAAAGTGATAAAATGCCTATTTTCAAAGGGGAAACTACAACAAAAAGCTGAACGTTCTAGAACGATGGAAGCCTTCCATGTCTGCCATTCAATATGGTGCCATCATTAGCACAAGGCCACTGAACACCAGGAATGTGGCTTGTGCATGGTCCACCCAGTGGCCCTCTCTGTGCACAGGTGGTGTGGAGGACATGGCTGTGCGGGTGGCACCCTGGGACATGCTTGCAGGACAGGCTGCACCAGCTCTGTTGTGGTGCCGGGAATTGCCAGCGCCTTGCCACACCATTCTTCAGGCCACTAATGGGCACTGATTTACCCCAACAGCTGAAGACAGGCCCCACGAGACCTGTCTGGTGGCAGACACGACCTGCTGGCTCTGCCGCCAGCCCAGTAGGGGACGTACCTGGACCGGCTGCCTGAGAAGGAGCTGTGTCTGGAAGAGCGGCTGGAGTAGGAGCTGTAGGACGAGGACCGGGATCGGGACCGTGACGAGCCAGAGCCCGAGTAGGACGATGACCGTGAGGACGACCTGTGGGCCACAGAGAACGTGACTTCACCACCCCAGAGGACGGGCAGGGCCACCCTGCCCAGTGCAGATGGGATGCACAGCAGTGACACTCAGAGGTGCGTGTGCTCACACTCAGGCAGAGCCACACACAGGCACCCCGGCACTCGGACCCTCTTCCTGGCATCTGTGCAGGCGATGCATCCAGCCCCCTCCCTGGAGACCGGAGCAGAAACCAAGACCCGGTTCTGGAGCACGGGCACGCTGCGCCCAGGCCCTCCCCACCCACCTGCCACCTGCCTGTGCCCTGGAACCTCCTGCTCCTGCGGAGCTCTGCAGGGCCCACCCAGCCCCACTCTAACTCGGCTCACACCCAGAACCCACAGCATGGAGCTGCTGAGGCAAACTCCCTGAGAACCTGGCTGCCCGGCTCACAGTGTTCACAGCTCCTGTCTGCAGCCCCAGAACCTCCTTCTCAGGGCCTGGGGTGGCACATGACCCCCAGCAGCAGCCGGCCAGCCTGGTGTTTTGTTTTCCCTTCTGGGTCCCCCAGCCTGCCTGCTTCTGCTTCTTCTGGGGGAAGTAAAGACTTACTGAGGTTCTCAGCATCAGTCCTACCTGGTATCCCACTGCCCTGCCCTTGGGCAGCAACACACAGAGAGAGGCAGCCTGGTAGTAAGTGGACACCCACTGGCCAGCCAGCTTCCCAGGCTGCCGCTTTACCTGGAGGAGTTGGAGGCAGACGCTGATGAGGCTGAGGTCTTTCGACGCCTTCGTGCCCGACTAGGGGAGACGGAAACCCCAAGCTTCTTTTTGGGAGACTTGGACCGTCGCCAGGGGTCCTTCCACTCATCTGCTCGCTTCACCTGAGGCCCCACAGAGGCGGCCTCCTTCTTTGGTGGCTCAGCTTGACGGCTGCAATCACAGAGTGGCAATGCTCAGGCTGCCTGCCCTCTCCCTGCAATGCTGCTTGTTGATGAGACCGAGGCAACTTGGGACAGAGCTGAGGGAACCTCAGGAGGAGGCAGCAGGCCTCCTTGGGGGTGGCCCTAAAGCCAGCCAGAGTCCTTGTCAGGTGAACACCCTGTCTCCTTCTCACCATGACAGCAATTGCTTTTTATGACGATCACTTATTTAACTTCTATCCCGTCTACGTTGTCAGCTGGGGACTGTGACGTCCAGAAACATCTGTCTGTAGTGCTGCACATCATAAATAATTACGAGATTAAAGGAACAAAAATCACTCTTCTCAAATGCAATAAAAAGGTTGTGAATGAACATGTCCAGGTCTTCAACACTTTGTCTGTGAAGAGACTGGCTACAGTGCAGTCGGAAAAAACCCTGACTAGACCCCCAGAAAGAGCATTCCCAGGCCTTCACAACAGTGCTGGCCTCAGCAGCTGGGTGTGGCTGGAGGCTGGAGAGGGGACAGAGGGACCTTCCTTCAAATCCTGGGGCTGGTGCATGTGGTCATGCAAGTGGGCAGACCATCTCCTCAACCACACAGGCCAGGCACAAGCACGAGAGGGATAGGAGGTGGATCGTCAATCTGTCCTAAAATCGTAACTTCTGTTGCCCTGGCCAGGGCTTGTGCTGGACAGAAACTGAGCAGAGACTGCAGCCCTCTGCCCGCAGAAGGCAGGCTGGGCTCCTAATCGGGAAGCCTGGCGCCAACAGAATGCCTCAAGATTCAAACAGTTTGCATCAAAGACATAAAACCTAGAGCCCCAGGACCAGCAGAAAAGTAACTTAATTATAACGATTAGAGAAAACCTGAAAATGTAAGTGCCTAATACAAAAGTATCTACTCAGGAGGAATCTGTTCTCAGTAGAGAAATCACAAAGTTCATTTGAAATCTCCGGAATACACAAAATTAAGAAGATAAAAGTCCCTTTTTCATTGTATTTATTAAAAAAAAAAAAAAAAAAACAAAAAAAAGAAGATAAAAGTCCCTGTTGCCGATGTTCAGCACCTCTGTGCGTCTCCCTCAGCCCTGAGTTCTTCCCAGGATGGATACGCTGCCTCTGGGCCTGCTGAGGGACTGCCCGGCTGGCCCAGGAGGGCTTTCCACCTGTGTTGAGAGCTGTCTCTGACTGCAGGGGAATTCATTGAGATTTCTCACCCTCTGAACATTTCGATATTGGGGTTTCTTTTTTAAAAACACAAGATAGTAAGATGACCTTTTTTTATAAAAGTCATCATAGCTTTTTTCTTTTTTTTTTTTAAATCTAGAGCAAATTCCTAATAAATGGAATTAGTAGCAAATAGCGAGTTCTTCCCCTGAGGGTTAAGCCACTCACAGGGCTGGCAGCACCACTCCCTGCCACCATGGCACCACGCAGATGAAAGCCAGCAAAACAGACAGGACGTGGCTGGAGACTGGCCAGGCTGGGCTGCGTGTGCCCAGCCCTCTGCTTGTGTGCAGCCTTGAGCTAGAGCTCTTCTTCACTGTAATGCCCTGGGGCCGGCTCACTGTGGCTGGCTGTGGCCTGTGACTCGAGCAGACCCCAGTGTGCTGCCCTACCTCATGCATCCTTTTGGGCTCAGAAGGCTCCTCTTTGCTCCTCAGTTACGTTCACCTGGCTTTTTCTTCCAGGTAATCCACACCCCCCACCTGCTTCCCTGGACCCTGCCTCACTAGCGCCAGGTGCCACGCGCGGCTTACAGGGAGGCTCCTCCTCCATTCACAAGCGGTCTGCAGCACTGCTAGCGCCCTCTTGCCCAGGGCGCACGATGCCACCCTTGGTGAATATAGACTCTTATTCTGCAGGGGCTTCTCATGGGCTATGCTCTTCCACTGACCTTAGCTATTTTTTTTTTTTTTGGGGGGGGGACTGGGGATAGCATCTAGAAGTGCTTAACCACTGAGCCACTTCCCCAGCCTGTGTCCGCAAGAGCGGCTGGAGTAGGAGCTGTAGGATGAGGACCAGGATGGGGACCGTGACAAGCCAGATCCCGAATAGGACGATGACGTGAGGACGACCTGTGGGCCACAGAGAAGGGGACTTCATCACCCCAGAGGACAGGCAGGGCCACCCTCCCCAGTGCAAATGGGATGCACAGCATTGCACGCAGAGGTGTGTGTGCTCACACTCAGGTCCTCACTAAGTTGCTAAGGGCTTAAGTTGCTGCGACGGAAGGCAAGCACCAGCCACTCTCATGCCAGAGCTGCGTGTGCTCTCGGTCTGTGGCATATTCAAAACCCTGCATGCGTCTGACTTTCAGATTTCTTGTTCACCTTGCCTGTGCTCACCTACAGAAGACCTTTGGCAGCACTGTGTCATGTACTGCTCTCTGAATCCCACTGGGCTTTGGACTGGAGTGTCATCAAGCTCATTAACAGGGCAGGCGCAGTGGCACACAGCTGCCATTACAGCGACTTGGGAAACTGGGGCAGGAGGATCACAAGTTCAAGCCAAGGCTATGTGAGTTAGCCGTGCTCTAAGCAAGACTCTGCCTCAAAATGAAAGATTAAAAGGGCTGGGATGTGGCTCAGTCGTAGCTGAACTCGGGGAGCTGCTCACTTGCCTGCCACGTGCAAGACCCAAACAGAAAGAAGGAAGAAAGAAAGAACCTATGCGAGCACCATGCCGTCCATTCTGTCTTCTCCTGCGGCTCTCAGTAAAGGGTGCGGCTTTCTTCACGGGAGCTCTGCCCTTACGTTTCCACATGGTGCTTGCTGTTCCTGTTGAGGGTTTTCCACCACCACATCGTGTGTGTCGGGGTGGCTGTGACCAGCACTACCTGGGTTATGTGGGAACATGAGAACAGCTGCCTGCTGGTGATCTCAGAACCTGTTTGATGGCCGCGAGCCAGCAGGCACCAAGCCTGTCACCTGTGGAGAATCCAGGGCAGCAGCAACGCCCAGCACTCGGAGCCTCCTCAAGGACACGCTACTGAGGCTTGAGTCCCTGTTATCTCAGCCCAAACCTGAGGGCTATAGGCACATCCGGGTGCTACCTGGAAAGTAATCCAGGAAGGAAGAGAAAACCTCGCTGCTGATTTCCCCAGCGCCGGCCACTAGGTAGCTGCTTTCACCTTTACACTTCCTGCACGTCCTCATCCTGAAAATGGAACAGGAAACGGACACCGTGCTCACCAAGGCCATGGTGAGGCTGCCTCCTTCCAGATGTACTGTGATGCTGTTCAAAGGGAGAGGATGGACAGATGCTTGAGCCGGTCTCCATCGCAGCATGGAAAGTGAAGCGGACAGAGGTGGACAGTGCCCCCATTCTGGCCCCAGGAAAACCTGCAGGGCCTCTGGAGATGGGCACCTCGAGTGTGTCCTGAAGGCTCCTTGCCAAGGCTGGGGCTACCAATGGGCCTTGATGTCCTCACCACTGCAGGGCAGGCACCAGGCCCTGCCAGGCAGGAATGCCACGCAGCAAGCCCATGTTCCCAAGCACGGCAACACAGCACACGCATTTTTGCTTATGTGCAGCCAGACATTTTAATCTTTTATTTCAGGACTGGGGATTGAACCACTGAGTTACATCTCCAGCCCTTGTATTTTTTTCATCTTGAGACAGGCTCTTGCGAACTCGCCCAAGCTGGCCTGGAACTCGAATCCTCCTGCCTCAATCTACTAAATAGCTGGGATTACGGTCACGGGCCACCACACCCGGCTTATTTCTATTGGATTACTCCAGTGATTCACTATGGCACATGATTGGTGTTTGCTTTACAGTGATGATCTAAGATTCCTTTTAAAAGGTATTTAAGTTAAAAAAGTGAAAATATTTAAAACATGCAAACAAACAACATAGATGGTATCTGGATACCGAAATGCATGTTGGTGGCAGGAGCCACATCTGCCTGGTAATTATGCGGTTCCTCAGTCACGCCGTGCCTACTAAGGACGATGTCAACAAGCTGAGCCCTGCGGGTATCTGTCCCCAGTTTGCGGGGAGTCAAAGCATGAAGAAACTGCTTTCAGATGTGGACGCACAATTGAAACCAACAAGGCAAGGGCAGACACCCCAGGAGGAGCAAGGGTGGGCAGTCAACAAAGAAGGGGCCCCCTGCGTGGCCCTGGGTGCACACCGGGGGCCAGCACACTGTGCCGGCAAGGCCAGGGAGTGTACCTCTCACCACTCTGCTCCTGCCCTGAGGAGGCCAGATGGCCGTCTGGGCTGAGGAGGAGGCTGCTGAGCCGCACCTTTTTTTCCCCCAAGACACCCCGAGAAACCTGAGGCCAAATCCCTTCCCCTCGAAAGGACAGTCAGCGCGAGCACCCTGCTCAGACCCCGAAAGCCAAGGGGACAAAAGAGAACAGAACACAGAGCCGCAGCTTTCCCAAGGGCCTGCGGGGTCCACAGGAGTGTGCTCAGCCACTCTGTGGAGGCAGTGGTGGGAGGAAGCAGGCTGTTCGGGGATGGCCTCAAGAAGGCCAGCACAGGCTGGGATTTGCATACACACCTCTGCAGAGGAAAGGTCCCGCAGCTGATCTCTGACCAAGGAAGCTACCTTCCCCACAGCGGGCAGCACGCTCTTATCTGCTAGGGACTGTCCTTCGTCCAAGGCTGCGGGAGGCTTGAGGGGCAAGGGTCATTGTGCTGCCCGGACACCGAACCAGCAGCACAAGTGGCCCAGGGCAGCGCAGCCTCTATCCAGCTGACACAGAGCCAGCACCAAGGGCGACCAGGCAAGGGGGACAAACCCAGGTGTGCCTGGGCTCCAGTCTGGGCAGCTGCCAAATTGGGGGGCCAAAGAAGAAAGATAAAACTAGACGGCCACTCCCTTCTAAACTCACAAGGCTGAACATCTAATGAAGACAGAAAGGGAAGGCGAAGCCTGTGGTTCCTGCTCCGACTACACTTGTCCACATCTACTTCTGGAGAAATCTGATGCCCTCACCCCAATCTGCCAGCACTGGTGGGGCGACAGTCGACAGGTGTGAGCTCTGCGCGCTGGG